GATGGTTTTAATTCAGAGGTCTTACCTCTCTTATGTAACCTCAAAGTCAAAGTGTTTACAGGAACGTTAGACCTCTTCCATACCCTACCATACCAGTGGACTGTGTGAAATAAAACAAGATATAATGGGCCTACTGCGAGGCAGAAGGTGGGACTTCTCCAGTGGCGAAATGTCGCTCACAAAAAATCTACACTCAGAGAAATAAATCAACTGCTTGCCCGGAGCAAGCGTAATTCCACTAAATGCAGGCACATGTGGATGTCGATACTGAATGTCAACATCTTTTTTACTTATACATGTAGTTATTCCTTTGTATATACATATATACGTATTTTATATATTGGACGAGTGCACGGCCACGCCCACTTGTGGCCAAGAGGATGTTAAACCCGTTCTATGGAAAGAAACCTTAAACGCCACCCAACAACTTTGAGAACAGGTGGCGAAGCGGTGCGTTCGGTTTGCAAGTCAGCAAAACCGTGATACAAGGCTGTGCACTATCGCCACATCTATATTTCATAGACCATAATATATTACAGGCTACATGTACTTCACGGAAAGTGTCAAAGTCGACAGGAAGACTGACCCAGAGCCCTCAGCATATCAAGAAGTGACCCCACGAAACGCGCTACAACTCCAAGGTCGACACGAACTGGCCATTCATGATTCAATCTGTGAAGACACCAAAACCTAATGAAAAACAAAATATCTCATAGACAAGAAAACAAAATTATCAACTACAACAACAACAACAACAACAACAACAACAACAACAACAACAACATCAGTGATAAAACAGACAAGGAGCCACGTTGGTTATTAATTAATAACCAAATTATCTTGCAGGGCCAATTTGATGAGTTCCCCAATTGTTACAGCTACGTTATTGGACATGTCATTCAAACCTCGTTGTACCCCCCCCGTTGTACTGTCAACCCCGCTTACCGCCATGTATTTTCAAAGTACGAAAAGAATCCCCTATACATGTATTATCAACATAGTATTTGCGCTTTAATACCGCCATCCGACAACTGTCTCAGTTGTACGGGCGGTCCTTATGTTGTAAATTTACCCCGTGGTACTGCCAGCGAACTGGCAGCCTGAAGTACACAGTACACACTTTGGCTTCCCTCGACGCATGCATATCCACTCGGTGGTTGCTTGACAATATATTTTATTCAAAAGTCTCTACGATCTAGGTCTAGGTGTAAAGAAAACGCTTTTTGTCGATTTGCTCCCTCCCCGCCCTTATCATGTAGATTTCTGGCAATATGAATAGATGTACTGTAGAATGTAGTGTGTCACAAGCGAACACAATACCAGAAAAGTACAACAAAAAATAAAACTTAACTCTGTAATTCAGCACCAAATTCGCTCCCCTCGTCGAGCGCTGATTATGAAAATACTCTTTTGCCTTGGTCCAAATGTTAAAAAAATAGGAAATAATAATTACATTTTAAAGTCGCCGAAGAAACTTAAACTCGAGCAAAGGAACCCCACCATCTCCCCGGGCACCAAATATCGGCCCAAAATAACTTACAGGCTGGTATAAAATGCCCGTTTTTTAAGGGGGGGGGTGGTTGTTTTTTAAAATTATTTAGCGAGGACCCACGCTAAAGTGTAGTGTAAGTGGCAGAACGAACGGAGATGACTCATTGCTTCATCTTGTGATCGGAAAACCAGTTCCGTTGAAGTTGGGCAGTCGGTGCTACATGGACATGAAAACCACGTTGTAGGCCTACCACCAGCCCCGCTGTACCGCCAACTTCACGCTCGTCCCAGAGGTAGACGGTATAAAACGAGGTTGACTGTATTTCTTTGTTAGATTAATTCCAGTTTGATTTCATCTGGGCCTTGACTCCTGCGGGTAAGAGATCTGCTATAGTCGGGTCAGATCGGGGGTACATTTGCACTAGGTTTTCGCAACCAATCATTTGAAGTTAACCAGATCTTGACTAATGTTTATGAGCACTCACGGCGATTAAGAAGAAAATGCGCTTTGGGTGGTTAATCTAAGCCTGACTAATTGATACATGTAACTCTTCCTCATTAATACAGCAATATAAAAGACTTTTTTATTTCAATGTTTTTCGAACTTGAACAGTTCAGCTAGTGGGAATATTTTAAGAAAGACCAACGAAATTTATAAATCAAGTAGGCACACGTATAATATGTAGCTGTGTAGGCCTACACGAGTGGGAAATCATTCAAAACAAGAGGGCTTAAAAATAGAAGAAGAAAATCAAAGGTAGCTAGATTCAATAGTCTAGTATAGCTTATTTCGCTGTAGGCCTGAGACGTCTAACAGCTGACTATCCTTGCTGAATTCCAGTGTGTGCAGTGTGCAGACTGTCATATTATTTTCGTCTTATTTTGTTTCCATATTGTCTTTTAGTTTGGTTTTGACATTTCTTTTTATTTTCTTTTGAGGGGGGTTGTTGTTAGTGGGTTTTTTAATAGGTGGG